GTCACCACCACCGCCAGCTCCTTCGCAGAGAACTTCTCCACCAGCAGCAGCAGCTTCGCCTACGACCGGGAGTTCCTCCGCACCCTGCCCGGCCTCCTCATCGTGGCCGAGATCGTGAGTGCGGACGGGCCGGGGGTGGCGGGGGGCTCAGCTGGACCCCGGCGCGTGCTTCCGCCGTGCTTCTCGGTATGGAGCCTGCTCAGATCTTCCCGCGGGCTTTAGGGAACGGTTTTGCTCAGCCTCGCCTTCTTCCCAAAGTGCAAGACTCTCTAAACAAGGTCCAACAAACTCTGGCTCTCCTGGGAAGAAAGGGTTGTGATCCTCAGGATGTCTTGCTGTGGGAGAAATGCAGCTTGGTGGGCCCTCTCGGTGCGGCAGCAGATCCTGGGAGCAGGATACTTGGGTTAGTGGCTATTGAGTTTGTGTTGAGTGTCAGAGACACCTGGTGCCTTTCTCACCTGATCTCCACGTGGATGGCTTCCTCCCTGAAAATAAAGCTTTCCTAAGATCAGGGGAAGAGGAAAGGGCTTCTTTCTTTTCCTAATTTATCTCCCCGATAGTAACATTGAGGTGAGTCGGGAAAATTTTCCTGAATAAAATCAGGGTGCCGCAACCTATTTTAGGACCAAAGAGGTCTTTTGCAAGGTGCTGTGCACATCCTGTTGTAGGCTCAGAACATTCCTGGGAAGGAGGCAGGGCATGGGCGTTCTTCTCTCCATTGGAGGGCATAGAGGCTGGAAACTCACGTGATCTCCCCAGAAGTCCCAGCCAGTCCTTCATGGCTGAGAAAGGACTGGAGCCCTGTCAGCAGCTAGAGGTGGTCACTGTTTGAGTCTTCTTCGTGTACCAGAGTCTTGTCAAGCCCTTCAGATGTCCTCATACCCTCGTGTCATCCACACGACCACCCTCCCCTGTGAAGGCCTAGAGACGGGACGTAAATCACACCAGTGGATAGTGAAGCATGGATTCAAACCCAGGCCTGCCTTTCTGCAGGGCCCCGCTAATAACTGCGAACAGTTGAGACAGCTTCCAGCTGCCTCAGCAGTGCCCTTCTGCCATCTCTCATAGACTTTTGTTAAATATTTGGGAATTCAAATCGAGCTTATGTAGGAGTTAGAGAATGGGCACGCCATCACGGTGCAGAAGTGACTGAAGACCTGGCCAGTTCCTTTGAGAAACCTGAAGTAAATCCTGTGTACCTCAAGTAGCTTGCTTGCTCCCCCAGTCTCAGATCCCACCCGGACCTGCTCTGTGAAGCTCCTGGTGGTCATAGTGCACGTAAGGTATGAGAAGTGTTGGCTTAGCTCCTCTCCCAGCTGGTTGCCTCAGCGGGTATTGAGGACTTCAGGAGACTCAAAAGCTGAAGGTATTAGAATCGCCTTGCGAGGCCTGGCTTTTAGGAGTTCAACAAATATTTGCTGTGCAAATGGAGGAGTTGGCAGGCTCCTGTGCTTCAGCAGCGCAAACAAAAGCTAAAATGAGGGAGATGGGCCTTCTACCTTGGGGTGGATTTGGGCCAGGCATGAAGCATAACGCCTTTTTTTTTTTTTTTTTCTGATTTATGATCAATATGCTCTGTGTACTGCACTTTTCAGGAAATACAAAAGTGAAAGAAATGTAAATGGCCCACAATCCCATTACTAGAAATAGTCACTGTTAACATGTTAGCATGTATCCTTTTAGATTTCATTTAAGTTGTTTGAAAAAGATGGGAAAACATGTAAGCAAAATCACCCTTATTACTACTATAGTTTTTATTTTTGACAGAGATAATTATGCACCTTTTTTGTTTGTTTGTTTGCTTTGTTTTGAGACAGGGTTTTGCTCTCTCAGCCTGGGGTGCAGTTGGCACCGTCATGCCACCTTGACCTCTCCGGCCCAAGCGATCTTCCCATCTCAGCCTCCTGAGTAGCTGAAACCACAGGCATGCACCACCACAGTTGGATAATTTTTAATTTTTTTTCTAAGGACAGGGTCTCTCTGTGTTGCCCAGGCTGGTCTGAAATTCCTAGACTCAAGCAATCCTCCCACCTTGGCCTCCTAAGGTGCTGGGATTATAAGCATGAACCACTGTGCTCCACATTATGCCCATATTTTAAAGATTCGGTCCTACAGGCAGAAATGTACGTTTCTCTGACTATCTTCATCTCTTAGAGCTCTAAACAACATGTTTATCATGCTGTTTTTTGGTGTTCCCTCACCCACCCAGTGGTAGACATTATCCGTTGCCTTTCTACTCTGAAAGGTGAGGCTTTTGCTGGGATGCCCTCTTCCCCGCCTCCAATTATACATACCCTCTTCCTGTCTCCCAGTATAGGTCCCCACTTATGATGGTTCAACTTAGGATTTTTCAGCTTTACAGATGTTGTAAAAGCAGTATGCATTCAGTAGATATCATACTTTGAATTTTGAATTTTGTTCTTTTCCTGTGCTAGTGATACGCGGTAGATATTTTTTCATGATGCTGGTCAGCTCTCAGTCACCCACGCCATCACCAGCGCAAACCACCCATCCTCTCCAGCGTGCTGTGCTGCCAGGTGATTCTGCCAGCTGTAAGCTAACCTAAGTGTTCTGAGCACGTTTAAGGTAGGCTAGGCTCAGCTATGATGTTTGGTAGGCTGGGGTATTAAATGGATTTTTGACTTTGGATACTTTCCACTAGGGTGGGTTTATGAGGACGTAACCTCATTGTAGAGTCAGGGGGCAGCTGTGTCGTCTTCAGGTGATTTGGGTTAGATCAGCAGCCAGTGTTGACCTAAGACACTGTACATGCCACTTACAACTGACCCACTGAGTAGACTATGAGTGCTTTTCCTTTTGCTGCCCAATTTCTTTTTTGCCCTAGTGTTAGTAATTCTCTTTTTTCGTTTCATATTTCTCCAGCTATTCAGTCACTAATTTAACCCCAGTTATTTAAGTCTCCTGTCAAGAAGCTGAAAGACTTCGGGTATTCTGTCAGAATCATCCTCATGACTGGCCTCTCTGGGAGCCTCTGGCGTGGTGGCCTGCGCACAGCTGGCCGAGTGGGCTCTCCTGCACCATCACCCGGAAGATTCTCTTCCTTTCTTTCCTGGGTTGGATCCTCTGCTTCCCATGTCCAGTGTCCTCGGTCTTGCCTTGCTTCCACTGGGGGCACACAAAGCCTCTTGTGGTTTTCTAAGAAAGCATGCATGTGGAAATGGAAATTTCCACCTTTCAGAATATCTTGATTCTATACACAATTCCTAGTTCGACTAGGTAAAGAGTGTTAAATTGAAAATGTTTTTCTTCAGGATTTAAAATGTATTCTTTTATTGTCCTTTAGCTATTCTGATCTAGTTTTGCTTTGTTTTATTTTGTTTTGTTTGAGATGGTGTCTTACTTTGTCACCAGGCTAGAGTGCAGTGGTGTGATCACAGTTTACTGCAACCTACCCCTCCTGGGCTCAAGTGATCCTCCCACCTCGGCCTCCCAAGTAGCTGTGACCACGGGCATGGGCCACCATGTCCGGCTGATTTTTT